TTAAAACTAGTGAAATGACACTGGAATCCCTATTGTGGGTTGTCATGTTAGCATTCTAAAGAAAATGTGAGACTACTAGAGCATATTTATCAATAAATGTTATGTTTTTGCATAAAGCAGGAGAATCTCACTTGCTTCTGTGAAATGCAGTTGATAGGAAGTATATATAACTCATTAGTGCATTCGTATATTACTTTTTAAGGAAGCAACTGTCTTGTCTCAAAACAGTTTGCTGCTATGCTTGGCATGGAATGCACAATACAGCTGGAGAACATTTTTCATGGCAAAGTGGGTGTCATGCCTTCATTACAACCAGCTCTTCCTCCACCGCTAAACACAGGACACATTGCAGACTCTACCTCATCACAGCGCATAAGAAGATTTTAGACTTGGAGAGAGGGCTTTGAATTTCTAGTTTGCGGTTTACATATCAAAGCAGGTCACATGACACAGGCCCTTTCCTTTAAAAGCCTGTCTCCAAAAGCTCTCAAAACATTTTCCAGTATGGTGCCACTCCTTCAAAAGCTTTCTCAAAAGAATTTCACTTAAGTATTAGACCTCACCCCCTAGCAGGTTTCCCCACTTGGGTCCCTCCAGATGATTGGGACTTCAACTTAGCTCCTGTCAGTAATCCAATGATCAGGACTGCTTGAAGTTGTATTTCAAAACATTTGGAAGGCACCAGGTTGAGGATGGCTTCACAGAGCTAAGCATTATCACCTGCTAATTTGTACAAGACAAGCTACTGTTAACGGCACATGAGCGTGAATCTGCAAGCTTTTTATTTGCACTTGATTTTGTTCTTATTAGTCTTCACAGCACATATAATGTTGATTTTCATATCTGTTGGACTCCAACACATCTGGGGTACAGCAGGCTGAAGAAGACTACAAAGAGCTTTGGCTAATGGGCAGTATAAAAATCTAATGCATTATATATTATTTATATTTAACCTAAAATTAATATTGGGACACTACACTTACCTTTTGTTTGGCAACTGATTTCAATAGATTATACCATTCTACTGTTATTTTTCTTAATGCTCTATAGATCTGCAGAAGTTTGTTGTGTTTAAGCTAGGTTATATTTTATTAAAAACTAAAACTTTCTGTTGGACTTTTCACAGAAAACAGAATACAAAGCAATGATCTCCAAATGTCTTGTATAAGTCAGTAAAAGGCAATACAATCAAAAGTTCCCACCCACAGAGAAAAACATGGCAGCGTAGTCTTGTCCCTTACAGAAACTCAAATTACCTGATCTTTCCACCATGCTATCATCTTTGCTTGGTAACTATGATATTCAAGCTGATGAAGTTTCAGTCCTCCCCCAGCAGCAACCAAGTCAGTCTGCAACCTGGGTCATCTTAACCTAAAGAGAGGCCATCTATTTGTGAAAGTACACAGAATCCAAAGACTTGACATTGTCCCCAGCTGTCAGTGATTCTTAAATAACTCCAAGGTGCTTGACATTCACATTCTCCTTTCCAAAATCCCACACAGCATTTCCACAAGAGCTCCATAACAACCATCACATTTCTTTTAAAAAAATCCTTATTGCCAAATCTTCATGAACAATATTTCTCCCATGGAGAATTTTTTAAATTTGTACGGAGTTATTCTGTCCTGTCACTTAATGAACCAAAACTGAGTTCGCAGTAGCTGACTGGCTTTGGATAAATAGTTCTATTAATATTTGTCCTTCCTGCTGGTTGGCTAACTATGAAAGACAGCGAGAGCCATTAAAAGCAGGATTTATGGATCCCCCCTCCCCTGCAAAGGGTATACAGTTAACCTTTCCATCCAGCATTGCTGACAGCACTGCATTGACTTGCAGCAGTTATTCCATCCCAAACTAGAAATTTATGCCAGATTTCCCAGTTCCTGATACTAAGCTGCAAAAGAAATTTGCTGAGATTTTCAAAAAACAACAGAGAAATCAAAATGCACTTCTCAATCATCCAAATCCAGATTTCATACATTCCTAGTCAAATTAAGGTAGCCAATTTCTGAGAAGCTGAACTCAGTTTCTGTACCTTTTGAGAATTTCATGGAAGGTATTTTTTTTCTGGGTGCTACCAGGAGAAATTATAGTCCCCAACCAATAAAAGCAGCAAGTGGGAGAAAGCTTTGTTGAATTCTCATAGGACGTTACCCATGCAACTCCTACAGGAACCTTTCAAAACCTGGGAATTGTAGGTCACATTTTAGGAAGTTCTTGTAAACCCCTCTGGAATCTCTGTCGAAAGGCAGCACAGAAAATTAAGAAATAAATTCCAAAGAATTTGAAGTACACCAGCATTATCATCTCAAGGTGCCTTTGTCCCACTGCCAGGATGCTGAATGGAAATAGAATATTTTCAGTAAGATCTTCCTCCATTTCCTCCTGATTTAGGGTTAGCAGGATAACATTGCTTTTAATAATTTACCATTCTCTGATCCTGCCAAATGATCCTAGAATAAATTAGAAGGAATATGTAAAGACATAAAAGCCGTATCATAAAATACTTCAGCAAACTGCCAATTCTAGAACATGAGATATGCCACATTATTGCCAATTTCTAGAGAGAGAGTCCAGTTGTGAATGCAGAATCATAGAATAGTAGCGTAGGCAAGGGTGAGAGTGATGTCAGATCAAATCCTTGCTCAGTGCAGGACTCCAGCTTAAACCACACCTCTCAGATGGCTTCCCAGTTGTATCTTGAATGCCTCCAAAGTGGAAGAGCCCAGAACCTCCCTAGGTAATTGGTTCCATTGTCATACTGCTCTAACAGGAATTTTTTCCTGGTATCCAGCCAGAATCTGGTTACCTGTAACATGAGTTCATTATTCTGTGAGCTGTACTCTGGGATGATCAAGAAGGGATTCTGTCATTTCTCTTTGTGACAGCCTTTCAAGTCATTGCACAGTGCTATCATATCTCCCCTCAGTCATCTCTTCTCAAGGTTAAACATGCCCAGATATTTTAGTCTCTTCCCATAGGGCTTTGCTTCCAGTCCCTGGATCATCCTTGTTGCCTTCTCTGAACCCTTTCCAGCTTGCCTGCATCTTTCATAAACTGTGGGACCCAGAGCAGGGCGCAGTAACCCAGATGAGTAAAGGGAACAAATACTTCATGTGATTTGGAAGTGTTGCATCACTTAATGCAACCTAACATCCCGTTTTGCCCTTTTTGAGCCGTATCACATGGTTGACACATTCACATGTATTCTTCCTTTGACGCTAGACCTTCCTTCCACTACCTATACATGTCCTTTTTTGTTTTCAGATCATCTCTAAGCTTTTTCTGAAGCTGCATGGGCTTCCTCTGTTCTCTTCTACTCCTTTTCCTTGTTGGGATTTTTTGTAATTGTGCCTTTAAATTTTCCTTTTTAAAAATTCCCACCCATCTTGGAATCCTTTTCTTATTAGAGTCATTTTAATTATCATTGTTCTGAGTTTATTAAAATTGGCTTTCCTAAAATTCCAGGGTAGATTTGGCTTTTGCTTCATTTAGAATCAAGAATTCAAGTATGGCATGATCACTTTCCCCCAGAGTCCATGTAGCTACCACTTTGTCCACCAGGTCTTCCCTGTTGGTTTGTATCAAGACAAGGACAGCAATTCCTCTTGTTCCTTCCTTAACTTTCTGTTCGAGGAAGTTATCAGCAACACATCTTAGGAAACTCTTGGAGAGGTTGTGTTTGACACAATCTGTCTCTCAACAGATATCAGGGAAATTGAAGTTCCCCATAATGACAACACTAAGGCTCCTTGAAACACTGGAAATTTGCTTTTCAAAAGTTTCATCCTTGTCTTCTCCTTGACTGAGTATCAGTAATGGACTTCAACCACTGTGTTCCTTTTATTCATTGCTCCATTTATATTAATCCAGATCCTCTTGATGGGGCTATTAAGTGCATCTTCCTGTATGTCTGTGCATAGATACGAATCTTTAACATATAGTGCAAGTCCACCTCCCTTTTAAGTTCCTTCTGCTCTTCTTGAACATGTTCTATCCTTCAATTCTTGAATTCCAGGCATGGGAGTCATCCCACTAAGTTTCAATTGTACCTATCAGGTTGTATTCCCCTTCCTGTATTAAGATTCAAGTTCCTGCTGTTTGTTTCCCATGCTCCAGGTATTAGTGTATAGACCATCAAAGACCAGAGCTTTATACTCTAGCTTGCTTCCCACTTTTTTTTAAGACTATTATTGGCCACTGTTAGAGCTGCTCTCTCTGTTGTGGTGCATAACTCCTTCTTCTGTTGTTACACCCAGGGGCACATCTCCCTCCAGGGAGACTGCATCGCTGAAGGTCCACAGGTCTTCCTGACATACATACATACATTTCCATCCCTGGCAGCAGGGAGCCTCCCACAGCTAAAACCTTTCTCCTTTTGTTCCTGCAAGCATTGGTGTCATTGCCACCACTTAGCTGACCTTTAGCCAATTGCCCAGTGTTGCACAGAATGACTTGCAGTTCCTCCACTATAGCCTGCGCTCCAGTCACATGCTTGAGTAACCGAAAGCAGTTCCATAGTTCCACTGCTTTAGAACTTTATGACATAGTTCCATAGTGGTGCAGAGTGTCTTCTAGTTCTTCTATACCTGTCACTCTTTCCCAGGGAGTTCCCTCCTCATTTTCCTTTCCTTCAGGATTCTCCTCTTTTCTGCCTCCGCTTGCTGTTGCACTTCTAGCTCCTGTACTATGCTTAGTTGCTGCAGTTCCACCACTCTCTCTAAAAGTTTTCCATCTTCTTTGGATGGAAGAAGTGAGTGTCTTTAGCAGTGGACACTCACTGCTCTAATGCTCTCACCTTTTCTTCTAACAGGGCTACTAGCTTGCATTTGTTGCATGTGTAGGCCATGCTGCCCTTGGGCAAGCAAACAAGCATTGCACAGACATTGCAAGTCACCACCAGTGGGGAGTTAACACAGCCCATTCTCTCTGCTACATTTTTGATACTAGCTTCCTGGGCCTGCTGTAACAACCAGTGCTTTCTCCTGTCTCCCCTGCAGGTTAACAATAAAGTCCTACCAGGAAATAGGAGTGTGTTTCAAGGAAGAAAACAAAGAGCAAGGAGAACAAAGGGGGTAAAGAGAAAGAAAGTAAGTTAAGGAACTCCCCTTGACCTCCCTCATTTAACTCTGCCACCAAACTCCTCTTAGCTCTCCCAGTTTGCTCACTCTGATTGCTTGCTCTCTGGGAGTTTGACTGCTTGTATCTTAGAGTCCCTAGACCAGCTGGGGCAACTTCCACTGATATGCTCAGCTAGGAGTCAGAGACCAGAATGAATCTCCCCACCCACATGTCTTCCCACATAAGAAATGTCATGCTGGATCAGACCAAAAGTACATCTTCTCCAGAATTTTGTTTACAAAGTGGACAATTAGTCACCTGTATATTCAAAGAGCAGCAGAGAAATCACACTGCATTTCTCAATTATCCAAAATCCAGATTTTACACTTTCCTAGTCAACTTAAGGTACTCAGTTCCAGAGAACCTAGAATTAGTTTCTGTATCTTTGTGAGTTCTATGAGTAGTAGGACTTTTCCAGGTGCTGCCAAGAGAAATTATGGTCAGCAACCTGCAGGCTATAGTAACATTCCAGTCATGTTCTTATGTACTATATTCAGTTCTTGCAGAAAATCAGTCGAGAACCTTCTTTCAGCTTAAGGATGACCAAATTTACTACAGCATTTGCTGGGCACAGGGAAGCTGGTGCTCCTCCAGATGTTTTGGATAAGCACTCACAGCAGCCCCAGCTAACAAGGCCAATAATCAAAGATGTTAACAATTATACTCCAATGGATGTGGAAATGCAGCAGCTTGCCTATCTCTGGATAAGCTTTCATAGACAAGAGCCCACCTCACAGATCTGAAATTGATTCTGGCCCAGAAAAGCTTTTGCCATAATAAAGTTGTTCATCTAAAGTTGTTCTGCAGAGGAAGGCAGAATGCGCTCCAACGGAGCAAAGCTCAGGGAGCCAAGGTTCCATTTGGATGCCAGGAAGCACTTCCTGACAGTCAGGACCCCGAGGGTGTGGAATGGGCTTCCACGAGAGGTCATTGAGGCCCCATCGGTGAGGGTGTTCAAAGATAGGCTGGACATGCACATGGTGGGCATGTCGTTAGCGGAGCCGGCTGGTGCTGGAGGTCAGTCTAGATGGCCCAGGAGACCCCTTCTGACTCGCTCTGTTTTCTATGTTCTATGTTTTCTATGTTCTATCTTTAAGATTCCATGATTACCAACTATGAGTGATCATCCTGTCCAATCACAGAGCTCTTCTGATGAAGCACTCCTGCTGGTGGTCACACCTGGATCAAAGATCCAAAAACAGAGCCTTTAGTGTCTGGCTCCCACCCTATGGTATACTTTTCCAGTTGTGACCATGTATCGAAACTACTTAGCTTGCATTGTTTACAGAAGAGCTTTCTTTTGAGGCAAGCATTTTCTGACTGATGGGTGAATTCTAGCCTCCATTTCATTGATCTGTTTGATTATACTATCACTTTTTAAATTTTAACTACTGTACCCCATTCTGACATCACTCACTCTAGAAAGGTATATAAATTCTATAATAGATAATAATTTTTAAAATGAGGGGGAAACAGGTGAATCTGTGTTTGCTTTTTCTCCTCCAACTTCATGGCTTTTAAAGGGAAATAACATCTCTCGGCTGCAACCTGACAACCCCAGGACAACCTGACCAATGCATAGATTGTGATCATGTTCATAACTGGTTTATTGCATGGAGCACCTGACAGGAGGAAACAGTTCTTTTAAGGTTTTTAAGCTTTTAAGGGAAAAGAAGAGTTGGAAATTTGGGGAAACAGAGCTTTATAATGAAACTTCTATATTGCTGCAAATTGATTTGATCTTGTCACACAATTATGAGATATAATCAGTGCATTAGAAAGGTTTTAAAATCATTGACAGTGTCTCCCATGGGGAATGTGTGTATGTCTATATAATTAGCACTTTAGTTCCATTAATATGTCAGTACTGCAAATTACACTAAAGTTGTTCTCTCTTTTTCTTGTCATGCACATGCACGTAGTACCATACAAACCTCCCACTGATACTTTGGAATTCATTTACTCAGTTATCACAAGACATCTGTTTTTCCTTTATTTAGACCCTGCATGTCTGTCCCATTGCATGCCACAATGTCATTTCTGAATCTCATTCTCTGTCCGAGACATACATTTGGCTTCTATGGGATTCATTGTTTTTCTACCTAATTATAAATGCTCTTCCCCACTATTAACATTCTAGTAAATAGGACGTGAAAAACCAGAGTTTAAACTACAAGTCTGTACAATGCCGAGTGCAAAGATAACAAAAAGCTGAAAATGCACACATGTGGGACTTTTCTCACTACAATATTGTGACCTAACATGCCACAATCATGTCCCAGCACAAGATGTGCTGACTGTGTAATGCTTCTAATTTTCATATTGGCAAAAGACACCATTGCCACATAAGAAGTAGTGATGTTGCTTCCAGGTGTTCTATCATGGAAGAAACAGCAGAGAAAACAAGAGTGGCTCACACATGTACTAAGTGGCTCATTCACTTACCACAGATCAATGGGATTTGATAAATAAGCATGCTTGGAATTAGATTGTAACTAGAAACCTACAAGTGGAACCTGCAAGCATATTTTGCATTGTGAGGTGCCTCTGCATGTTTCAGCCAGCCATGCACTTTTCTAGTCTTCTTCATTCTGTTCCCCCTGTCCCTTCTATCGACACTTTTCCTTTATGTCCCTGCAATGATCAGTCAGCACTCTGAGCTAAATGAACATGCTTGTTGCTCATTGGCCTGTTTTGCACCTCCAAGTGTTTACCTACGGATTTATACTTCTGCAAATTGTGGGGTTCCCCTCAACTACACTGATACTGACGTCTTGGCATACACTGGATGGTGCCATTTTAGCTATATGAGGATCTCCACTTGAAGAAAGTGTGTGTCATTAGTATATAAGACTCCATAGGACTTATCTAGCAATGGAAGAAGTAATGACTTGCTGTGCCATCCAATATGTCTACCTGTAACCCTTACAAACTCAGAAGATTTCTGGGCATTGTTCTCATATAACCCCAGTTCTCCATCAGCTTCACTGGCTCCCCATTGAAGTCTAGGCCCAATTCAAGGTGTTGGTTATCACCTATAAAGCCCTTAATGGCTTGGGACCTGGTTATCTAAAGGAACGCTTGCGTCCATATATGCCCTCCCACCCCTTGAGATCAGCAGCAGAGGCCCTCCTCCAGGAACCCTCTGTGAAAGATATTAGGAGGGTAATTACCCAGAGGAGGACCTTCTCTGCGGTGGCGCCCCACCTATGGAATGCGCTCCCCAGAGAGGTCGTTATTTGTTTTTTGGCGCCAGGCCAAGATCTTTTTATTTAAAAGTTATATCTATGCCAGGATGTCTCCAGATTTTTAATGTAATTGTATAGTTATTTATTTGTATTGGAAGCCGCCCCGAGGCTTTTGCGAATGGGGCGGCATATAAGTGTTCCAAATAAATAAATAAATGGAATTAGCTAAAGTCAAAGGCAAACTTTCTGATTTCTATTAAATGCAGCATCCTTACATTTCATATGCAGATTCGGAGCACACACCACAATAATTGTCAAAGTGTTTCTCAGTATATGCCAATCTAAAAGCCTTTCTTTTGGGTGCACAAGGTGTGCTGCGTTATCTATAGGATGTGTGCATGAGTAGTCCATTTGGAATTTATAGCCAAGAGTTGAGTAATGAGAGAACAGCCTTTGCCCACTATGAGTCTCCCAGGTAATATGCCAGGTGCTGCATGTCCCCTTACTCTGACACAAGGTAAATACGGGGTGCCGAAAAAATGTATATGCATTTTAAAAAAGGAAAAAACTTCATTAAAATTGTAATAATATATACTGATAACAAAAGATGAACCCAAGTCATGTTTGACTTCTGCAATTACAAGAGGTGCTCAAAGTGATTACCATCAGTGTCCAAAACTTCTGATTATGGCGAACTACTATGCATACATTTTTTTGGCTCCTCCAGTATATCTGCTCTTCACTTAGAATCAGGTTCCATTTGTACAGCTTCCTATGCCCTGTCTCACTGTTTACATTGTGCCCTGCCTACTTCTCATTTGGCAAATACTACTTTCTGACCTCCCTCTTTCTCCGTCTCTATTAACAGTACTAGACATAGTGTGCTGGTGCATGTCAGGGGCTGGGATACTAACCTGCAATCCAATTCTCTAATCAGCATATGTATTCTTTTTAAGAAAAGATTTGAGAGAGAACAAAACATTACCATTTACTGATTCATTGTTCTCTGCTCTTGAAGAACCTGCTTTCCTGTTCTGCTGGAGTGGAGTGTCTAATCTGCTCTATGGATATTATGCACCTGGAAAAGCTTCATTATCTTTTATGTTAGTTGTGACATGAATAAACATGTGAGATTGTGTACATACAGTAACATGATCTCAATAGGATTTTTTCCTATGTAGGCATACTTAAGATAGCACTGTTAGATAAAGTACAAATAGTAGACACCATCTTAGAGCAGATAAATGATGCTTTCAAGTCCTCCACTCCATGTCTTGAGTCAGGTCTCAAGTCTTCACTTTCAAGTCCAACTTGAGTCTCAAGTCATTGCAAATTGCAAGGAAATTTCAAGTCAAGTCTCAAGTCTCAAGTCTCTCCTTAAGTCTCAAGAGCAAGCTTTACAGAAAAAAGAGAGGGGGTGGTGGGATGTGTGGGGAGGTGGAAGAGTTGTAACCTCCCCCGCCCCCAGTGTTCCCGCCTGCACTTCTCTCAGTGATGCACTGCAATTCTGTACTTCGTGATTTATTTAAACAAAGCTGTGCTGTTATTCAAATCTATCAAGATTGCAATTTAGACAATTTTCTTGGCATGATTTGCCCCACGCCCAGCCTAGTGCTGTTATTCTTGGAAATGCATGGGAACACAGCAGATACAGCAGGCAAGAGAAGAGCTGTGCCAAGAAGAGCTGAAGCCTTCCCCCTATACAGGTAGTCCTTGGGTTATGGATGAGTTTCATTCCTGAGAATGTCCTTAAGTTGAATTTGTATGTAAGTCAGATCACA